GGAACTTGACGGAGGAACAAGGGGGAGAAGAAGGGCGGAAATGGTGGGGGAAAGGGAGAGAGGCAAACCATGAGAGACTCTTGAATGCTGACAAAAACTGAGGACTGATGGATGTGGGCGGAGGGGGGGATGGGCATAGAGGATGACACTTATGGGGATGAGCACTGAGTGTTATGTGGAAACTAATTTGACAATAAACTATTTGTAAAAAAAGAAAAAAAAAGAAAAAAAGAAATGTGAATAAACAAAAATAAGTGAGAGAATATAAAAAAAAAAAAAAAAAAGAATAACCAAGGTCCTTGGCCCATGCTGCAAGGGGAGCCAGGCAGGCAACATTTGTTGGAGCCCTGGGGGCAGAAAGGCTACAGGTGTTATCTACTTTCTGCTCTGCTTTTAATAAAAAAATAAGAAGAGCCAGGATAATTCCTGAACATCTTTTTCACTCATAATTTTACCTTCCTTCCTTCTGGCACTTTCTCAGAGCTGCTTCTTAGTGGTTTCTTTCCTTTTTCTCCCAGAGCTCTGTATCTGCCCTAGCCAAATGGATGGGTCTTAATTCAGTCTCTTACTAGAGTCCTGAGACTTTTAGTGTCAGGTCTGTTGTCTGTGTCCTCAGTGGGGCAGGTCCTGTGGACCCAGAGGGCTGTGGCCCCCTGCCCAGTTTTCACGTCCTTCACCCCAGCACCTCCTTCCATCAGGGCACCCTGACCGCCCAGGGGAAGCTGCTACAGCAGGACACGTTCTATGTGATCGAGCTGGATGCGGGCATGCAGTCCCGGACCAAGGAGAGGCGTGTGTTCCTCTTTGAGCAAATCGTCATCTTCAGTGAACTGCTAAGGAAGGGATCCCTCACCCCAGGCTACATGTTCAAAAGGAGCATCAAGGTAAGGCTCCTGGTGGGGATGACAAAGGGCAAGGAAGAGTCAAACCCGGGGAGCTGTTTCCCTGAAACAGGGACCTGGTCAGTGCTGATTCACAACCTTGACAGTCTTGTAGCCAAGTAAGCTGTGGGCGTGAAGTTTAGCTAATTCAAAAAAAAGGAGACCGGCTGAGCACAGGTGCTCCAGATCCCGCAGGCCTTCCAGCACCGTGTCATTCACCAAAGACAGAAACCAAAGTATTCAGCTATTAGATCCAGGACAAAACTGTGGAAATGTCTCCTGAAATAAAAACTTTGAGAAAGTGTCATATGTTGTTGATTTTTTTTTAAATGTAATTTATTGTCAAGATGGCTAACATACAGTGTATACAGGGTGCTCTTGGTTTTTTTTAAACCCCTTAAATACCAAAAGAATCAACTTGGGTTCTTCCAGATGAATTACTTGGTCCTGGAGGAGAACGTGGACAACGACCCCTGCAAGTTTGCACTCATGAACAGGGAGACTTCGGAGAGGGTCATTCTGCAAGCCGCCAACGCAGACATCCAGCAGGCCTGGGTGCAGGACATCAATCAAGTCTTAGAAACACAGCGAGACTTCCTAAATGGTAGGTATTGGTGGGCCTGGATTCGAGGGGCCATCTTAGGGGACCCCATGCTTCCGAGCTTCCTTGGGCGGGGCTCATGGTGACTTCATGAGCCCAGATGACTTTTTATATGGATGACAAACTTGTAGTTTTCAGAAACACTTTTTTTTAGATTTTTTCTGTGCCTGAATACACCAGTGGAACAGACGGTACATGATAAAGAAACCCCATCTTTCCTAAAGAAGAACTATTCTCTAGAGCTTGTACATAGGGTATATGCCTTGTAGGCAGCACTGCCAGCTGGTATTAATTGTGACAAAAGGCTGAGTTGGGCACATCAACAATCAGTGACCTGTTTTCCCATTTGGTGGCTGACGGCTGGTGCTTTCTCAGGTTCTCTGGCATTACCTAGCGAAAACTGGGAGTTTGACAGATCAGTGTGAGAGCCTAGATGAATCTTCTTACTGGCCAGCCTGAGCCCTTACAAATGAGAGGTGATCACTAAGTTTCAGTAATACTTTGAAACTTCTCAGAACAGATGATTACACACAGAATATAGCTCTCTACAGACCTTGCAGGAGCCCCCAGCCAGAGGTGGCATTGCTACCTTGTTTACATTTCTGTATTTTTTTCACTGCCCGGATTGTCTTCATGTTGAGCTTGGCATGTGAGAGGAAGTGTATGGTTTTAAACAAGCGCTCTCCTCTCAAGCTCATGAGCTCAGAAGTTTCTCTGAGCAGAAACAGAGCTTGAAGTTGAAGGCAGAATGTAACCAGTAATAAAGTTATTACCACAGAGACTCAGCAAGCACATATGGCTGTATGTATACACACACACATGTGCACACACACACATGTGCACACACAGACTCAACAAGCACATATGGGTATATGTACACATACACACACACACACACACACACACACACACGCATCCACTATCAGATGTGTCACCTCTTGCCAGTACTGGAATCTGGACTCTTTCAAATGGCTTAGTCACCACTTGCTGGTGGTGGACCTGAATGCTGTGGGGAAAGATGAAAGGTGACACGCCAGTTTGGGACTGTGAGCAGGTCACGAAATTTCTCTGGGCCTCTGTTGGCTCATTCTGTGAAAAGGAGGGACGATCTACTTTGCCTACACTGCCCGTGCTGTGTGCTCCTGCCAGCGGTACCAGAAGCAGAGGACGCAGCCAGCTCCCTACATCCATCTAACTCCACCATTGTATTTATTGTAAAACAAATAAAAAGAAATTATGCAGCAAGATAAACATGAAACTGTAAAGCAGTTTCACACTGTAAGTGTGAGAGTTATGTGTGGTCATGCCCCCTTCCCCCCCCCACCCGAAGAAGAGTTTGGTGAAAAAAACTAAGTGATTTCTAGGGTTCTTTCTCATTCTAAAAAGGCTAAAATTAAATACCAGCCCAGCCCTGAGGGATAGTTACCAAAGTTGTATATAGTTTATGGTTTCTGAATGTAGAATTTTGAATTAACACCTTTGTTGATAAAATAATTCTGTGCAGAATTAGCACGTATGTAAAATATGTCGTTATATTGCATTCTGTTAGTTAAGCATTTCTGATTCTAAGCTGGAATGAGATTTTTAAGTTGGCCAATTCAGTACAAAAGACGAACAAAAAAATTGAAACTAGAAATAATTGAAGTAACAATAATGGCTCACACATTTTGAGTCCTTTCTCTGTGTCCGACATAATGCTAAGCAAGTATTCACATGTATCATCACATTTAATCCTCATGTCAACACGGAAAGGTAAGTCCTATCACCCTATATTTTTCAGGTGAGGAAAAGGAGTCAGGGAGGTTAGTAAACTTTTCTAAAGTCACAACAGTAGGTGATTGAAAAAGGACTTGAACCCAGAACTGTATAACTTAAAATTAGGCTTTCAGCCACAAACTACAGTACAGTTGCTAATGGTAGGGCACGTAATCTATGAGCTCCCTAGCATACAAAGCAAAGAAAGAAACAGGATCAGGTATACGATGCTATATATCAGCCAGAAACAAAACCTCTCAGGAGGGATCAGCTTCCCTGATGCTAAGACCTGAGCTATGCACACTGAGACTAGCGGAAGAACAGAGGCTCTCTGTGTCGTCCATTTAAAAAGCCATATTACATTCATAGCAGCACTCTCAGCAATAGCCAAAACAGGGAAAGAGCCTGTGTCCATCAATGGATGAATGGATCAAGAAGATGTGGTTTATCTATACGATGGAATACTACATGGCAATGAGAAAGAATGAATCCTGGCCATGTGTAGCAATGTCGATGGGCCTCGAGGGTGTTATGCTGAGTGAAATAAGTCAGGCAGAGAAGGCCAGATACCATATGTTTGCATGTGTAGGAGGATTAGGAGGATCTTAATGGAGAACTGTGGGGGAGAAGAAAGGGGAAAATAGTGGGTGAGAGGGAGAGAGGCAAACCATGAGAGACTCTTGAATGCTGAGAACAAACTGAGGACTGATGGGTGTGGGGGAAAGGGGGGAGATGGGCATGGAGGAGGGCACTTGTGAGGATGAGCACTAGGTGTTATATGGAAACCAACTTGACAATAAACTATTTTTATAAATAAATAAATAAAAATAAAAAGCCATATTACTTTGAAACACTTCAGAACAGTTAGTACATTTAATCAGTTAATACCGCAATTCCATGTGATGGGTACTGATTCATAAAGTCAGTTTGATAAGGCCTGGTTCAAAACTCTCTGCTATCTACTTAGAACTGCATTTCTTTGGGCATAATCAGTGATTCAGACTTTTACATGGTTCCAAGAGATCTTTCTCTTAATTATAGTGAATTATGGAGATGTTACTGAACTCGATTATCAGTACCTAAATATTTAATGCCTACAGAACACCGTCTAGGGAGAAAGGCTGAGCTCTAGCAAGAGCCTGTTTTATCCTTTGACACACTCAAGAGACAAGGATGTGATGATAGAGTAGGGTTATAGCCTTTTAGTTACAGAGACATATGCAGACATCTCAGGGCCAGCCTTTCCCTCCTGAGACCTCAAAGAGAAAGAAGTGTGAACCCTATGTTGAGTCCTACTGAAGTACATACTTATCACTATAGAAATATCCCCATAATTGAAAGTTCTCTGGGCCCCAGCTGTTAACCTACTTAAATATTTGTTGCAGAAAATACTGATAAAAATGACAAAATTGGGCCAGGCCTGGAAGTCATTATTATAGAATTTGACCTGTATGACTTTTGCCTGGTTATACCTCTTTAGTACTCAGGCCTTAGAACTTTTCTTTTCTTTTCTTTCTTTTTTTTTTTTTTTTTTTTTTTTTGATTTTTTTTTTTTTCTACATTTATTTATTTTTGAGAGATAGAGTGAAACAGAACATGATCAGGGAGGGGCAGAGCTGGAAGGCGACACAGAATCTGAAGCAGTTTCCAGGCTCTGTGCAAGCATTCAGCACAGAGCCTGACACAGAGCTCAAACCCACAAACTGTGAGATCATAACCTGAGCCGAAGTCGGACACTTAACTGACGGAGCCACCCAGGCACCCCAGAACTTTATCATCTTAAACTCGGTAAAACAAAGCTCATGTCTTTCCTCTGTCTCCTGAGTTCCACTGGTGACTATTCTGCCAGTCCCCAAACCAGAGTGACCATCCGTTCTTGCCTCCTTCTCCCATTGAGGCTGTGGGAGAGTCTAATCTCCCTCTGAACACCTGCCACCCCGTGTCCATTCTACATTTTCATTGGCTCTGCTCCGCTTGGGTCTCTCACTGCCACTATCTCATGGCAGCCTCCCCAGGCCCTCCTCCCACCTGCTGCTCCAAGGTTAATGTTCCTCAAATATGGCTGTGGACAGAGAATTTAAAATGTTCAAATTCATTTAAGCCAGTCACTTCTCATGATCTTCAGAATTAAACCCAGACTCATTAGCCGGACTTTGTAGATTTTGCAGTCATGGTGCCAACAATCTCCCTTACATCTCATCTCCTCTTCCACCCACGGGCTTCTGCTGCAGATGATCTGACTCTATCCTGTTGCCCAGACGCACTTCACACTTGCCTACCTCCTGCACACTCTGAAGCTTAGTACCACCACCACCCTCATAGAGGTGTCCACACATACGCATGGACACACTACAAAGCTTCCTCTCCATCCTCTAGCACAGCACTTTGTACCTCATATATGACACCATTTCGTTTTTGCATTTCCATCATTAAGGTAGATGCCTTAGTTCTCACAGTAGCGTATAAGTTCCTTAGAAACAAGGGTAGTGTCTTCCTTGTGTATTACCATTATGCCTGGCATAAAGCCTGTGTGTACTAAGCTTCCACATCCTTGTGAGATTCCTAGACCTCAGAGTAACTGTCTGCTCTTACCCTGCAGCACTTCAGTCGCCCATTGAGTATCAGCGGAAAGAAAGGAGCACAGCTGTGATGAGGTCTCAGCCATCTAGGGTTCCCCAAGCCAGCCCCAGGCCCTATTCCTCTGTCGCCGGGGGCGCTGACAAGCCCCCAAAGGGCTCCAGCTATAACCCGCCTCTGCCACCCCTGAAGATATCTACCTCCAATGGCAGTCCAGGGTTTGACTATCACCAGCCTGGGGACAAGTTTGAGGCCAGCAAGGTAAGTGACAGCTCCTTATCCCCCACCTCACCACTCTGAGGGCACAACTTCTGTGCTCACTTTAGAAAAAAGAAGTAGCTTCTTTTTATGCTGCTCATTTACCAGAACAACCCACTAAATACAGCCTAGTCTCACTTATTTCTCTTTCTTCCCCTGCAAATTGAGTGGGTTAGACCAGCTCCCCGTGCTCAGACATTCTGTGTTAAATTGTCATCTGCAGAAACTCGGCAAACATAAGGTAATATTGTAGTGGCAGTGATGACTTATACCAAACAGAGTAGTTGTGCTTCAGATCACCTGAAAGTCACAACTCTAGGGTTTGATGTCTTAAAGAGATCAGCCTTTCTGATGATGAGCTGCTGAAGTGAGCTCACAGTCCTTCACCCTCCCCTGGCAGGCACAGCAAGGGGAAATGGCTCATCTGTGGGTGAATGGGAAAAGCAGGCTTGGATCAGACATTTATCACAGATAATCCACAATTCAAACATCACCGTGAGGACAGCATAGAATTAACTGTAGACTCATCTACACAACTGGTGTAGGACCCTACAAAGTGGCAGGCATGGGAATAAATGGGAAAAGTGCTAGATTAGGAGTTCAGGCAACCTGTGTTCCATCCCAAATTCTGTAACTCACTTGCCCTAGAACCTTAAGCAGTTCATTAATCTCATTAGGCCTCAGTTGCCTCTAGAACTCAATGGGTCTGTGAACGTCTACATTTTTTTTACTTACATGTTCTGATTTTATAGTTTTATTTGTTTTATACAAATTATTGGGTGATATTGATTTTTTAATTAACCATTAATAAAAAATCTTTTTAAAAAATCAACTATTAATATTCAAGTTCAATTCTGTATTAGAATAACTGCACTGACCTATTTCATCACATTACTTGGAAATGATTTTCTATCTTAAAAACCCCTTGTGAATTAGTTGAGGTCATCTTGGCCTTTTGTCAAATTTATTGAAGAATTTCTGGCTCTCATCGTGCTCTGTGAGGTAGCCAGGCCTCCCTGGGAGGGAGAGGCTAGAAGTAGATGTCCTGGTATACTCAGGTGAAAAAGCCACAGAGGTGTGACCTCCTGTTTTAATGAACACAGGCAGGACCAGAGGAGTTTTGTTCCCACTAGAGTTGGGTCAGGGTAGGCCATGGGCTTGCCATTAAATTGGGCAAATGTCTCGTTGTTACTTCTGTCTCAAAGATCAGAATGTAGCATGGAACTGATGCTTTCTCAAAAAGAAGAAAAAATGTTTCAGAGGGTCTGTCTTCTTTCCACTAGGGGGAGTGTGCCCCTGCCCTGACCTTTGCCCTGACCTCACTCGGCCCAGGTGCTTATGTCTCCTTGTGCCACCCTTTTCCTTACACTAGAGGATGCATGCTAGCGAGGGGCTTCCAGGTGGAAGGTGTGTTTATGCTTTTCCCTAGGCTGGAAGTTCTCTACCCATGTACCCCTGATTATAATATTGTATGCAACATTGCTGTAAAAAATAGATTTTCAGAGCACGTTTATAGATAGAATTTTATCGCTCAAGATAATCTTCTGCCTGCTATTTACCCTGCTGGTGGGAAGTTTGGCCTTTAAGCACGCAAAGGGATACAGAGCCGTCCCGTGTGAACCGGCCTTCCTGTATCCGTGTCCCTCTTGCCCTTGTCTCCTAGCAGGGCGACCTGGGGAGCTGCAATGGGACCTCCTCCATGGCCGTGATCAAAGATTACTATGCACTGAAGGAGAACGAAATCTGTGTGAGCCAAGGTGAGGTGGTCCAGGTCCTCGCCGTCAACCAGCAGAACATGTGCCTGGTGTACCAGCCTGCCAGCGACCGTTCGCCCGCGGCCGAGGGCTGGGTCCCGGGCAGCGTCCTGGCACCCCTCACCAAAGCCACCGCGGCAGCAGAAAGTAGTGACGGAAGCATCAAGTAAGTGCCTCGTTGGCTTCCCCGGGAGAGGAGTGTGTGGATTAGAAAATCAAAACCAAACAAAGAACACAAAAACGCAAACACATGCTAGGGAATGACCGCTGCTTATTCTCGACAGTGCCACCGGAACCAATGTTTGAGGGCTGGGACCGCACGCGGCTCGGGGTGTACAGGCCCGAGTGTTCCGGGCTTCCTTGTGCTTGTTGACGGTAGAGGCTGTGGGGTTTTTTCCTTTTGGTTTATAATTTTCTGTTCGTTTTTTTTCCCCTTCCCCTCCCCCATTAAGAAAAAAACCCTACTGAAACCCTAGATGACAAAAGGCATGCCTTCCGTTGCTCCATTTGACCCACCACAGGATTCACTGGACTGGACTTTATTTATACTGTATTAAGTTACTGATATATATATATATTTTTTGATTGACACCAAAAAATTACCTTAGCACCAATGCCAGACCCGTGCAGGTCAGAGGCCCGCTGCTTCCTCCAGGAGAGAGGGAACTTTTTGGTTGTCTATGGCAATTCCTCTGTACAGATTGTAACTTTTTTTTTTTTTAATTTCTCCCCTCCCCTGTCACTTTAATATATGTTCATGGTAATTTGTAAGATATTTCTTTTCCTTATTTTGGTTGCGAAGACCCTTCCGAACACATTCCTGTATAAAGTATTTTGCACTATTTAAAGAACCCCACATGGATGAAGTCAGGTTGTGCAATATAAATGGAGAGCCACAATGTTCATCATTGTACCTGTAATGTAACTAATAATTTTAAATGTACTATTTTAAATATGTAAAATAAATTTTCACCATGAGCATGTTTTAATGAGGTTAAAGACTAGTTGACCCTTTTTCCCCTATTTCACTATTCTGGGAGTTTTAAATGTGCAAACAATTCTTTTTTTTTTCTTTTCTTGTCTGTATTTTAGGAATTGGTTGAATGCGTTGGCAGTTTTCCCCTACACAAAAAGTGCTTTTGTCGCCCAAGCTCCAATATTAGGCTCCCCTTGTAAACAGCCCCTAAGGGTTTCCTCTAACCTCTGAGATGTGGACTGATTCAGATTGGATGCCATCAAGTTGGGCGCCCTTGAGGTGCTGACATGAAGTGATGACTCAAGCACAAGGCAGGGTTTGGCTTGCATCCCCCACCGCTCTCCAGGCTCGGTGGTCATCCACGGCCAAGGTGGGAGGAGCTCCCCATGACATAGCTGAGCAGGGGCACCCACAGAATACAGGATTTCTTTGGCGCTTTCTGTGGCTTGGGGGATAGAGGCTACCAACCTCACCCTGGCCTTTCTAGGTAACCATGGGCCCAGCCGGAAATCAGTGGGGGTCTCTGAGGCACCATAGACCCAATCCATTTTACTCTCAAGACATTTGGTTTTGGTACATCTTAAGAAGCCTTGGAAATGAAGGCCCTCAAAGCATTGACCTTCTCATTAGTCACAAGGCTTATAGAGCTAACTTGTCACAGTTTGTAATCTAATTCTCCAGGCACTCAGCACTTCCTCATCACTTTTGCGTCTTTTGGTCACTTTTTGCTGCCTTCCATGGGAGGGATGTGAGCCTGGGTGAAAGAGAACAGATCCAAATACAAATGGGTCATCCTGGCTCCTTGTCAGCCCCTGTTCAAGAGGGGTGGGGATGGAACAGAGCATCTGACTTAAAGTGGCTGTCAGTATTTATCAGTGAAGGACACTCACCGCACCCTCCCCAGGGCCTGCTGTGACCACAAGAGGCAGAGTTGGTTGTGATGCCCACAGCATAAATGTCCCTGAAACCCTGTTTCCACATCAGTTCCTGGGCTTGTGGCCAAGAGACGGAAGCTCCCCAAACCATGATGACGACTTCTTCTGGAAAGAAGAATATGAAATTGACCCTGTCCTGCCACTGATAATACTCTGAGTCTTCCTTCTGAACATGATTTGTTACATTTCTAGTTTCTCACCAAGCACACTGAATGACCCAGAGGGTTGTAATAAACACCGGAACACACCCCCACACTCACGCACATACATACTCACTGTGCTGTTAGCCCTGGGAATCTTTTCGGCATGGGCCTCCCTGACTCAAGGGTCCTCATACTGGGTCAGGGATGTGGATTTGGGGGACAAAGATACAAAGTGAATGTCAGAAGTTAACAGTGATATTATCTAAGGTTAGTTTCCACAACTAGTTCTTGCTCAGTTACAACCACTGAAGCGAGTTGCTGGTGTGCTAGAGAGCCAGCCTATTCAGGATATAGGGTGCCTATTCAGGATATAGGGCTGGCCAAGAGATTCTTGCTTTCTGGTGGAGCCCACTTAACCCCCAAATTGAGGACATGACTATTCTTGCCCTTTCCTATTCAGAAGGGTGATCACTGAGTATGTGTGCTTGTGATAAATATTTTGGGAACACCTTCAGGACATCCAAAAATTCCTGACATGAGTTTATGGAAGAGATATTATACATTTTGAAACATTCTCCTTCCTCCTAAATCTCATATGTCCCTCTCTCTTCTCTCTCCCTCTCTCTCTCTTTCTCTCCTCTCTCCCTTAATGAAGACTCTTTTCATCAAGCTCTATCTGCAAAGGCCTAAGTTTGACAAGGACACACTGAAGGAAAGCCAACCTCACTTATTCCAGGCAATGATAGAACTTCATCCAAATTCTGTGACCACCATGATACCTGTCCAGGGTCACTCAGGTTGTCTGTGACTTGGCTTTTGTGTCTTTGTCTTTTGAGTCCTGACATATGTACAACTCAAGGGCTCTGCTCTGAGCTTCTCTTTACAGGTCTGTGCAGTAGCTTCCAGCCCCCTTGTGGGAAGGAAGAAGTTAAGGGTAGTGTGAAAGAGGATTGCTGCCCTCACCTCATTGAGAGCACACATTGGGCCTTCTCCCAGCAGGAAAACTCTAGGAGCTCCTAGCGATCAACAAAGCTTTTTATTCACAAACACTGAGTGATGTGAAGTACATAGACCAAGAAGCGATTCATCCAAAAATATCCAGATAAATAAGTGGTGTTCAACCATGTATTAAGTAAAATGCCCCAGAAAAAAATCTTATCTGTACTGCAGCGTTTGGAAGTAGCCATTGCCCAAATACAAATAATGAGATGAAAACCTCAAAATCATCATTTTGCACCTTTATATCTGGTCCTGGGAAAGTTTCAGTAGCTTATACACTATAAAACACACTTCTCTTCTCTTTTCTGTTTTACTCTGCCCCACCCCCACTCCATTCTTCCACCACCCACCATACTGCTCAGGAAGGGAATTCCTCAGTCCTCGAAGGGTTCATCAGTATGATGTAAAAACTTTCCTTGGTAGAGTTTTAACCCAGTACTCATATCTTCCTCAAATGTTGCCGCCAACCTTGCACATCTATCAGGAGGGGTCAAAGCTCATCTTCACTCACTTCTTATTGGAGGTGAGATCAGCTAGCTACCAGCCACCACAGGAGCTGGCACGCAGGTTTGGGGCCTCTGAAGCTGGGGCTTGACTGGAGCACCTCACCTACTGACTCACCCAAGGGTGGCGAGCCCACCCACCGCCTCACTGTGCCTTGACCTGCCATTTTGATTGGTGCATTTTTTGGTACAACAGGAAGTCATGTTCATGGCATACCCTACGAATGAGAAAGCGGGCGGAAGTGGAGAACACGGGTAAAAATGAAGCCACAGGGCCTCGTAAACCCAAGGATATTCTGGGCAACAAAGTCTCTGTTAAAGTGAGTAAGGTATTCCAGAGCTGTGTCCCACCTCTCATCTACTCCCACCCTGCAGCATTCTCACGAGGCAATTTGGGTGGACGGGGATTTTTTTTTCCCAGTATGGGGACAAGAGGGGAAGTAGTTTAGCAGGATTTTGCATGCAAGATCAATTTATTTTTTATTTTTTATTTCTCCTGGCAACTTCGATTCAAATACGTAAGTATCTTTTATTTTCTTTTTTACCTTTCTCTTTACACTGTGCACATGTTTTATAACAAAATTATCTGCAGCATTATTTTTGTGAACATGCAAGGTGCTTGATTCATATGAAAGTTCTCAAAGCTACCCGTTCAGTATCCTAGGTTTGAAAATACACACAGGGTAAGGAGATTAGGAGTGCTTGCCAAACCTCCAGCCGTGTGAAGTCTGAAGTTTGGAATTTAAGGGCCACTGTGGCCTTGGTAAAGTTTCATTTCTTTTCCCCAGAATTCAGACGATGACATTTTCAGGCCTACATGTGGGCAGGAAAGGGAGGCACATTGGCGAATCCCAAGTTCCTGTTGTGTAATAATCCACTTTTACTATGAACCTACTGATTCTAAGCTTCGGCAGACCCTTGTTGTCCCCCATCTTGAAATGATGGGATCTGTTTTCCTTACATTGGGCCCTCTGGAAAGATCTGACTCTGGACCGTGAGAGTTAGACTGCTCATGTTTAATATTGTTATAGCATGTAATTATCTACCTGGCACCTTTCCCCCTTTCTGAGCAAAATAAGAACAACTGAAACCCATTCTAATGTCCTTCTTGGGGAAAAGAAATTGTGTTCCTCCTTCACTCTCATCTGGGAAGTCCAGCCTCACAGAAGACAAGAGTTTACAGTATCCAGCACTCATGCTTCATGTGGTTGCTTCCACTGCTGTTCCCTGTGAGATGCGCAGCCGCACACGATCCCAGCCTCCTCCCCCTGGAAAGAGCATGCTGCCGCCCTTGGTGATCAGCACCCCCTCCTTAGAAGCACCTGGTTTTTTTCTCTGCCCAACTTCCCATTGCTCATGCCTTTCTGAAGTTCTCCTCACTTCCCAGCAAAAGCTGCCTGCGGTTCTAACTGTTTTCTCTTTCTTCCCCCTCCTCATGCTGCCCTTCAAGGAGACGAACAGTTCCGAGGAGTCAGAGTGTGATGATCTTGACCCTAATACTAGCATGGAGGTAGAAGCAGCTATTGTTGTCCTATTTCCTATAATGATTGTCTTTTTAAATGTGTTCTATAACAGTGACCTTGCTGAAGTGACCAGCCAGTCAAGGATAAATTGTGATCTTGGGGCATATCTGGGTGTCCCATCCCAACTTAAAAACAAAAAAGAAAATTAATTCAGCTCAATCCTGATAGAAAACTTGACCTAGATTATTTTTTTTTTTAAACATACACAAACTAAAACTTCTGGTTCTCTTGAATGCTTGCTTAATATTTCCTTCTTTGGCGGGTATGGGTTTGTGTAGAAGATATCCAACTTCATTACTGGAAACTTAGGGCACATTTTCCCCCCGTGGAAAATGGCATTATAAAGAGTGGCTGATTCCCAGTTGAAAGACAAGAACCATTTTAGTTATAATTTCTCCCTTATTTGTTTCTCCTTCCTCCCTTTTTCCCTTTTTTTCTTTCCCTTTTACTAGAACCTATTCTAGTTTTTACTAGAATCTATTCCTCCCTTGAGGCCCCAGCAAAATCACGGACTAGGTATGGCCTGGTGAATGACCTGGCCCCTAGTCACTGTGTATTGCTGGCAGAGAGCAAGTGAGTGATTGCAGCCTCTGCCTGGTCCCAGGGCTCCTGGGGTGGTGGCTGTTCCACCAGGAAGTAAAAGTAGCCCTGGGAATGGCCTCCCTTCTGTAGCCTTAGCAGAGGTCTCTCTAGAGATGGAGAAACTGAGACGTTGTCAGGGGCCTCTCTTACCCTGGAGGGATCCAGGGGTATGGGAGTGAAATTAACATCTCCACCAACAAGAGCATCGAATCAAATCAACTTCCAACCCCTTCTTGGCTAGAAACTGTCTAGGGTTAGAGAAACAGGACTCCTACATGGCTTGCCACTGAGTGACAACACTCATGAATTTACAAACCCTGGACAATTAGAGCAAACATGGAGCTGGCTTTCCCCGCCATTTTGTCTCTCAGGGGAAATTGACATGTTTTTCTCCAAATCTGTATTCCCATCACCAGGAATAGATAAAAGTGTAGAGGCTTCCTCTAAGTACAAAATAGAGAATATTTATTTTTATTTTCCTTTGTATAGACCTAAGCTTTTCACTTAACTTAGGATGGACTTTTATTATTCTTATTCTAATTTGACCTAATCCCAAAGAAATCCACCACCATATTAAGACAACCACCACAAAACCCAAGAAAGACTATTCTGCCCAAGAAGGGGTAAGTGAGCTGTGGAAGATGCCAATTATGTTGAATGAGGCCAGAGACAAGAGGTCAAAATCAGGAGTTCTGCCAGGATACAATGGTCGCCTGTGGCTGTGGGTATTGCCACAGGCCTAATTCGGCATATGTAGGTCAAGGCAGTGTTCCACCGTGGGAGGAAGTGGGTATGGCATTCATAGCCTAAATGTATCTTAGAGAATGAGGAACCCAGGGGACATTTCTGGCTCTGCTTCCCTTGAATTTCAGCCACTCCCATGGAGCCCACACCTATCACCTTGTAGCACCCTGGTGACACTGTATCTCCAGTCTAAGTGTTGCTGGCCTGTATCAGAGATGTCATCTGCAAGTAGAGGAAGTCCAGGCAGAGGGAGGGGGAAAGCCAGGTATTTGCAATCTAGAAGGCAATTTGGGACCTTTCCCAGCTTAGGTGAACTAGGGAGAGAAGAGTGGCTTTCCCACTCTTCAATGCAAGAAGTGGGCACAGAGGGATGTGGGACCAGGTGAGCAATGCAAATGGAGAAAGTTACCTGATGTAATCAGATGCTCTATTCTACATGTAGATAAGCACAACCATGTAAACGCACGTACACACGTGTTAGCCCTGCTTTGTGAGTTGAACACATGTCTAAGGTCCAAGGCTTGCAGCCCTTTGCATAGACTAAAGAAGATGGGTCCCAGGGAGGTGCTTTGGGATGTATAAGCAAAGGCGGTAGGATGTTGGTGCTGAAGAGAGGAAAGCCATGAATTGTGTTGATGCGTGTCTGAAAAGTTCTCAAATACAATGCTTGAGGCAGACATTTCAATTAACTGGCACTGTTGAGGGAGCATGCGTTAGAAACTAACCAAATATTCTGGTTAATCCAGGTTTTCTGTAGTAGGTGTGCATGCTGTCCTCACATATTCCTTCCGTATAGATCCTTTTAAGCATCGGTGAGCTCGTGTGCTGTATTGCCATGTTAAAGTTAACTGAGCACATAAGCAGGTACTAAGGGGAAACGGGCATCTTGGCATTGCTAGCTTAGAATTTTCAGACACAAATAACAAATATGATATGAAAAGCCAACCTGTTCAGCATGAGTTGAGAATTTTCCCACAGGATAGGTAAGTAGAACTTTTCTGCAGTGTTCATTGCAGGGGGGTGGAAATGGCCAGGGCTACATATGAAAGAGAGCTATTCTTTAAAGACTCAGCTTGAGAAACAGGTGGCCTCCTGAAGGCTGCTGGCTGGTCAGTTAATAATTGGGGGCATCATTACCAGGCCCATCCTGGCCCCCAACCTCACCCTTATCTCCTGAACCTGATTACTGTAATATGTGTTGTCTGATTGAGAGTGTGTCCCTGTGCCCTGGGGAGCTGAGCTACAACTCCTGTGGCTTATGCTCTGAGCCCCCGAGCCTGGGACCCAGCAACATACCGGCCTATGCACCCTATGCACTGCTCCATGCTAGGTGTCTGAATGCTGAGTCCTGCCCTCTTCCCTGCCTACCCCTTCACCTGATGCAGCATGTTGATTGCAATCCTGGCTGTATTTAGGCTCTCTCCCCCTGCTTCCACACGTATATCACTACCAAATTCTTTCCTTTTCTATTTTTTCTCAGTTGGTGGATTGAAGGAACAGTTTCTTTGGGTCTTTGCTTCCAGATCAGCTGCTTGCTACCCTCAGGACTAGTGTATGTCCCACCATATTGTTTTATGGAGGTTTATAGGCACATCCTAGAATGCTAATTAAGAGGAAAATGAAGCACCTTGAATCCTAAGAATCTGGCTTACAAAACTTTCCAAGAACATCCAGTTATGTAAAAGGAGGCAATTCTGCTCTAATGTATCCATCCTTTTTCTTCCCTTATAGAGAAACACTTGTGAATATTCTCAGGTACAGCCCCCACTTCCCACCCCCAGCACACAAGCCACACCATCATTTGCTGCAAGATTGGCTCCCAGTGTACATGATCCTCTCGTGGTCCGGCACTCCCCTCTCTCCTGATCTGCGACCACACCTCAGAGAGAACTATTCTAGAAACACAAAGATCTGCCCATAGCTCACCTTACTTTATCTTGTATTGATTACACTTTGGGGGCTAGAGGAGAAGAGGAGATTATATATGAGAGAAATGTTTCTATGTGGAAGAAGAATCCAATCAGGCTGAAAACCAGACACTAGGCTCTTTGGGGAACAAGTTAATATTAATTCATTTTTTCCAGTACAGCTTAGACTGTATTCTCATTATTGATGAGAATTGCAGATGTGATGGTGGGCTGAGCACCATATCCCCCCTGCCAGCTTCCCAGCCCTGCCCCTCCCCCACCGTCTGCACTGATGCCCAGGCTGGAGCCAAGGCTCAAGGGTTGAGGATCTGCATCCGCCCTCTGAGCCAATGCCCACCTCTGAGAAGGCTGGATCCTTTCCAAGCTGTACCGATTTCTCTTAAGACTCGATAGGCAGGTCCCCATACCCATGCCACCTCGCAAAGTCATCTGAGGACCATAGGGAGACTTGGGGTTTTGCACCTGCACTCCAGTCCCAGAACTGCTACTTGCCTACATCATGTGCTGGAGTAGAAAGGCCTGAACCAGCCTCCCAGACTTGGGCCTTCATCTTCAGGGATAAAGTTTCTCTGTCCAGCTTTTATGTCAAGCCCAATTAAATAAATCCATCTTAATTAAAAAAAAAAAAAAAAAAGCCCAATGCCACTTTTAGCAGAGAACATCAATCTGTCAAATTAAGAGGCTGTCACAATTCCAAAAATGCTCCATCTCTGACACAGCCATTTAACAAGGAGCCAACCTCATCCTCGTCGGTGACACAGTCTAAATGTAGACATTACCCTCAGTCATTATACCAGCTGTGACACAGTCAGCTCAGGGGTTACTTTCTGCATAAGAACAGGGTTGGGGTCTTGTGGGAGAGGGTTCTGAGAGATGAGGGGGAGAGAGTACTTGGAAAGGTGAAGATACTTTGGAAGGAAATTTCCAGTCAGGATAAGAATCCGAGACTTGGAGAGCTGACAGAAACTTAGAAACTTTCAGTGAACCCTATCTCCTTCATTTACTTATTTTTTTTTATTGTGGTAAAACAAACATAACATAAAATTTACCATTTTAACCATTTTTAAGTGGCATTAAATACCTTCACAATGTTGTTCAACTGTCACTGCTATTCATTTCCTGAACTTTCTCTTCATGCCAAATTGAAACAGTACCCACTGAACAATAACTCTCCGATTCTTTTCCACCCACTCCACTTCACCCCAGCCCCTTCAAGAGATTTGTAGAAGAGGAAACTGAGGCAGGAAAGCTGTAACTTTCAGTTTGAAAATGAGAAGGTGCCCTAGGGGCAGAGTCTGGCTTTTCCTGGCCATTGTTCCCCCATCTACACCATCCTGCTCCCTTCTTGGAATCCCCCATCTCTAGGTTGTTTTTAATCTAAAACACAGATCCTGGCAGATGAGAAGACCTACCTTCCAGTGCCAATTTTTCTGTGTGGATTTCAACTTACTCAACTTTCCATCTCAACAAAGAGGAATATCATTTCTGCCCATCCCAGCTTTCCAGGGCAAAAGTATGACTTAAATAAAAATCACAGAAAGGTGGAGTGCCTTGGCTGGCTCAGCCACTAGAATATCTGACTCTTGATCTTGGGGTCGTGACTTAAAACCCCACGTTGGGTGTAGATATCACTTTAAAAAAAAAAAAATCACACCAAGGCAGCACCACACAGAAAGAACACTCAAACAGGAGTCGGGAAAACCCGGACTGCTGTCTGCATACTGTCAAACGTG